TGGACGCACCATCAAAGTACAGGGTCCATCGGGATCCTTGTTCAGGTCCGTCATAAGGTCCATTATCTTCAATGTTGTCAAATGTCATAATGTCCTCGTCAGGGAAGTCGAAATTCATGGATTGGTAATCTTCGACAGCTTGATGAGCTAGATGGTCAGCTAGCACACTCCCCTTTATAGATTTTTGGGTCGTGTACTGGATATCATACTCAGTCAGGATCATTTTCCATCTAGCGATTCTTCCAGATAAAGCAGGCTTCTCGAAGATGTACTTGATCGGATCCATCTTAGAGATCAGTAAAGTGGTATGTGTCAACATATACTGCCTTATCCGGCGAGCAGCCCATACCAAAGCGCAACAAGTTTTCTCGAGCAGTGAGTAGCGAGTCTCACAGTCGGTTAACTTTTTGCTAAGGTAATAAATGGCATGCTCTTTTCGGCCAGACTCGTCATGTTGGCCCAGTATGCACCCCATTGAATTATCCAAAACAGTCAGGTACATGATTAGCAGTCTTCCTTCGACGGGAGGCATCAAGATAGGAGGTTCTAGCAAATACTCCTTGATTTTATCGAAAGCAACTTGACAGTCATCGTTCCATTTAACCACCTGATATTTCTTCAACAGCTTGAAGATTGGCTCATAGGTAGATGTAAGGTGAGAAATGAACCTTGCAATGTAGTTTAGGCGTCCCAAGAAACCTCTGACCTCCTTCTCAGTGCGAGGGACAAGCATTTCTTGTATGGATTTGACTTTGGTAGGATCAACCTCGATGCCTTTGTTGCTGATGATGAATCCCAAATGTTTACCGGACCTAACTCCGAAAGTGCACTTGTTAGGGTTCAGTCTGAGCTTGTACTCCTTTAACCTGACAAACAGCTTTTGCAGATGGTTGAGGTGTTCTTCTTCTGTCTGTGACCGGGCTATCATGTCGTCTACATAGAGTTCAATCTCATGATGTATCATGTCATGAAACAAAGCTACCATGGCTCGCTGATAGGTTGCCCCGGCATTCTTCAGTCCAAATGGCATCACTTTATAGCAGAAAGTACCCCACTGTGTAACAAAAGTAGTCTTCTCCATGTCTTCAGGGGCCATTTTGATCTGGTTGTACCCTGAAAATCCATCCATGAAAGAAAATACCTTGTGCTGAGCTGTATAGTCAACCAAGATGTCAATGTGCGGTAGTGGAAAGTCATCTTTAGGGCTAGCCCTATTTAAGTCTCTGTAATCCACGCACATTCTCACTTTGCCGTCTTTTTTAGGCACGGGCACAATGTTAGCAACCCATTGTGGATAGGAAGTAACAGCAAGAAACCCAACATTGAACTGCTTCATCACTTCGGCTTTGATCTTTTCAGACATATCGGGCCTCATTCGGAGAACTTTCTGTTTAATTGGTGGACAGTCTTCTCTTGTAGGGAGGCGGTGAACCACAATATCTGTATCGAGTCCCGACATGTCTTCGTAGGACCAGGCGAAGATCTCAACATATTCATTCAACAGCTAAACTAAGTGCTCTTTGACATTTGGCTTTAGGTTGGCACCCACTTTAACCTCTTTTCTGTCTTCATCAGAACCCAAATTGATTGTCTCTAACAGCTCTTCATGGGGCAGAATAGCCCTTTATTCCTGTTGTAAAAGTCTAGCCAACTCTCCAGGAACTTCACAGTCTTCATCACCTTCGTATTCGACATGATTGACCAGATCTTCAGAGTCACTGAAGGTCATAGCAGAATTGTCACCCATGGAATCCGGAATGGAAGGGTACCTGCATTTTGTGAGTGTGGGCGTGTGTAAGGGATAGCCACCTTTAAACAAATAAAATGTAAAAAGAAAAAAAATGAACACAAAAGTTTATATATGAAAACGTCCATGATTCATTAAAAATGGCATATGAAGATGAAAAATCAAGCCCTTACAAATGGACCTATTGAAACAACCGGCTGAAAATCATCAAACAACGAAGTCGCCATCGAACGTCTTTTATCCCACATGAAGGGAAAGGTAAACATCGAGAAAACCCGAGAAGGATGAAATCAAGGTCGAACGACCAAGAGATAAGGGTAAGGGAGTCTGTTACGCGAGGGGAAGGTATTAGCACCCCACACGCCCGTAGTACTCTACGGTATCCACTCTTATTGTCTATCTTATGGGTGTGTTTAATCTATGCTTACTGTCTATTATTGCTAAAGGGAAAGTGCATGCAAAAGAAAAGGAGGAAAGAATGTAGGGAAAATAAAATTGTGCTCGTTCGGGCCCTACCCCGATGCCTACGTATCCGTTTTAAGGAATCAGAGCAGCCGTAGTTCGGCTTATATGTTTTTGTTTGTTTGTATTTTCTTTAACGAACAGTATTAATCTCGCCTTCTGCCGCAACTCGACCTTTGGAGATTTACGCGTCAACACATAAGTGAATTAATACGCTCTTTTGAAAAGGGTTTGAAAGAAAGGCCCGAGGGAAAAAAGATTTTTATGTTTGTTGGTGTTTTTGCTTGTAGATAATAGCTAGTTAACCTCAAGAGAGAGATTTTATCCATTTCTCTATTTATTCATGAAATGAGTCTTTGAGACTTGAATCATACCAAAGCTTAGAACAAGAGAATAATAATGTCGAGAAGAAACCCGCTCATCATCTCTCAAACTTAGCCAAGACATGGTTTTTTGTCAGTAAATTTTTATGTATTTTTGAAGTTTGCAAAAAAAGTTTTTTGTTTTAACTGCATATGCAAAGGAAGACGAAAGTCACAGGAAGACGAAAGTCACAGGAAGACGAAAGTCACAGGAAGACGAAGGTCACAGGAAGACTAGCCTATTTCTAAATCTAATGTTATCATACCATGCAATATATGGGAAGTGATAAATGCGGGGTGAGAGTGGAAATAAAATATACCAAACGAGTACTAGCTCGTAGAGCAAAGTAAAAAGCAAAGAAACTTGATGATCTCATGAGCTGCTAACATCAACAAAGAAAAGAATTAGAAATCCAATGCTCGGAATAAGTGTTGAAGCATCATTGATGTGAAAATAAATCACAATCGGAACCTCAAGCATATCCGTATATCACACAATAAGCATGCATAAGACTCAAATCTCCAAAAACAAAAGTGAATCACGAGTCTCGAGTAATCGGATAATCAAGAATTAATTTCTAAAAAATATCTCTTACAATCTAACATTTTTTAGGTTTTTATTATATCAATATTTTTATTAACAAAATTGTTATCTAACGACTATGAAAAGAAAAGGCTAAAGAAAAGCTAGAAAAACTTTACACAGGGGTATGTGGGCCTGAAGCAGGGTGTGTATTGTAGTAACATTGACTCGCAGGCCCAACCCAATATTTTATACCTCACCAAAAACCAACTCCCAAAAATAATGGCCATGGACCTGAATGGTGTATACCTCGGTCCACTAAGATCATACCAAGATCCATCCACCTTTTATTCAGCTTCGTGTATCTCCACTGTTATCAATAAAAAGGAATTAGAAAAACACAACAAACAAATGAATGGCGTGATTTTGTTCCCAGGATTCCCAAATCGTGTGACGGTTAGACTTCAAGAGAAACAAAGTCCTCTTCCTCTTCCCTCAATGGTGCCGAATCACACCTCCGACTCGTTCTTTCTACTTTGGTTTCACAATTCACTCGTATCTCAAACCTCTGCTCCTATCTTCATTGTTCGTTTTTGATACGCCTCGGTTCACACGTCTCTCTTCCATCAACCTCTTCGCGGACTAAAATTCAAGTTTCATTCTTTGACAAAGAGCATAAAATGTAGAATGAAAGATTAAAGAAGGCTTACCAACCGGAGAAGGCACCCGGTGTCTCTTCGAGGGTGATGCCGACAACGAAAAATCTGAAGAAGTTTCAGGTACAATATCTCTTAACTTCTTTGCACGACTTCTTCTTCTTTTTCTTCTATTTCTTTTGTGAAAATTGTTGTGCTATGCGTTTGCGCGATTTTGTTAATGATTTGTATGTTGGTGTTGTTGCGGTTGTCGTTGTGAGTTGTGTTTGAGTGAGATCGTAGGAGTGTGATTTGAGTTTACAGAGAGATGATTTGATGAAGATGAAGCAGGGTTTCAGAAGTAAGTAAAAATGAAGAGTGGCTTGAAGGGTGAAGAGTATTGGTTAGAGAAGAAAGAGAGAGAATTCCGAAAACTTTTTGAGTTCTGGGTGAAAAATGAAGCGTGTTGATGGAAGAGGATAGAAAAAAAATAGTGGAGAGAGGATGAAGTTTGAAACTGGAAAAGAGAAAGTATCATCGTCCCCTCAAACTTGGAGGGAGTTTGGATTATATAGGTAATTGAGGGAGGAAACGGTTATGTGGGAATCAATCTGAACCATTGATTTGGATAGAGTTTGTTAGGGATTGAAGGGTGAGATTGATAGTTGGTTACAAGGTGGTTATGCTAGTTGGGAATTCTTTTTGGAGGTAGTTAGAGAGTTGTTAATTAATCTTCTGTTTCCCATTCTTCAAGCTTCTGTCCTTCAAATGATTCCTTCAGCAGCCAGTTGCTTTGAGCAGATGCACATGTGACAGTACCAGTTCTGATTGAGAACTTCATCTTCTTCAATGTCCAGGAATTCAGCATGAAAAAGCCTATTGCAGCCGGAACATGGGAACAAATTTTCAGCCCTTCCACCCAAACAGGCACAACATGTATCTTTCGGATAATTCTGAGGAGCAGCATCCTTACTAAGTAAATCTTGAAGTACCCAAAACTTTTCCTGGCTACAAATCACAGCATCATGCTTCAACCTTGCCGCAATAGTGCCAAGAATATCAATTGCCATGGAACGTGAAGCAAAATCCTTGGAACTTGTCCCAGCATTCTGAATTAGTATGGCACATAGAACCTCTAGAATAGAAGCTGAAGCAGGATATTCAGGTAAATTTAGAGTGGTCAATAAATCAGTAACAAGATTCTCCATTGTGGATTTCAATTCAGAAGCATCCTGAGTCTTTACACTTGCAAGTCGCTGAAGTACACGGGTTCAAAAATAGGAGCAGGCTTCTGTTACTGCATCGCGACATTTAGCTTGATAACTAGCATCAACCGAGATTTCCAATACAGAATTACTACTCGATGCTTGTCTTAAAGAATCAGGAAGGTTAGCACTACAATGAATTGGATAAGTAAAGCAGTAATCATCTGGATCTGTCTTTGCTCTGAGGTATTTTCTACATGTACCAGTAAAGAATGCAAGGATTCTAGCTTATGTGTTTCTGTAAACCTTGAATATATATCATTAGATTTTGATGAAGCTTCCCATTGATTACTGATGCTGTTAACCAACGCAAAAATTTCGACACTAAGGAGTCATCACGAGACTCTTTTCCTAGTTCTTTTTTTCGTTGACAAAAATGCGAGACTCGTTAGACCTCAACCTTTGTGCAGAATCCGACGCTAACGCAGTTGTAATTGCCCAAATGATAAAATTACGAAGCCTTTCCTGATCCATTAAGAAAATGGAAATAGGAGGTACGCTCATAAGTATGGCTTCAAGAGCAAAATCTGGGTAAATGCCTTTTGTAGCTTGATTACACACACTGCCAGAGGAGAGATGGAATCATGTTCTGAGTTAGCACATTCGACAGGTGGTAGTGAAAGGAGTGGGTTGGCCTAAAACTTTTCAAAATTGACTGGCTTTGACGACAAGCCTAAAACAAAGACGTTGGACTAGTGGATAGTCTAAATTTCGACAGCATTCTCGTGGCCCCGCTCCATCTGTTCCTTAAACCCATATTTGAACGATTTGGGTGTGATAGACATTTTGTTCAAGTCGGGGTCAAAATCAAGGCCTGCTGCAACACTTCCTATCATATCATCATCAACCATCATATCCTTTGCATTTAAGTCAACAAATTCGTCGTCTGATGCTTTACTTCCAGAATCACTGTCTTCCTCGTCGTCATATGTAGTTCTGACTCTTGACCAGCGGACAAAGTGTGGTCTTAGGTAGCCTTCACTTTTCTTCAACAAACATGGATCAAATGGGAAGAACATGTCGAGTCTATCCATCCCACCAAAAGCCTTGGAAAGATCAGCCTCGAGCAAATCTTCAAACACAAATAACTCTGCTGACATGAAAAGCCGAGCAGCCTTTGCCTATTTAAGAAATTCCTCTACTACACTAGGAAAACAGACCTTCAAGGGATTCAATTTATGTTTCCAAAGTAGCAACATTGGCATTTTGATGAGCTGCATTCTAAGCCTAGGTACATCCATCAATGATTTCATGCGGAAGCACAAAATGTACATGACAGCCTGGCACCCAGAATAAAACACTTGGTGAGCTTGCAGGTTCATATCTAAATCATGTATCTTGCAATATGCAAAACACCAATCTACCAATCTTTGTATGATGTCAGCAACCAAAGCAGATGAAAGAAACTTTGCACGAGATAAATAGCTAGCAAGATAAGAAACAACACTCATCCTAGTAATAGGGGGATTAACAGGTGATTCAAACATATCTCTGAGAACAATAGCAAATTTCACACCACATAGTTCAGGATGCAATGCACAAACATAGAACATCACAAACTGAGTAAACTTTGACTTGTATGTATTCAGCACAGTTCTCTTAAATGACGTCAGTAATGTATCAAATACCTCAGACAATCGGCCACTACTTTGACAGGAATCAAGATGCAAAAAAGTCAGCACAATTAGGCTATCTAATTTCTCCACAACCTTATTGCCTTGCAACTTTTTTCTATTTAACATCTCTGAGACACACATACTATTATAGTTCTCATCATCATCTGCTGCAAAATTAATAATATCCTCTAACTCCATTTCAAATATGCATTTAGCATCCTCATGTATCTTGCCATCCAATCCAATCTCCACATCCAACTCTATCAATTTATCCACAAGTGCGGGTAGCATGGTACTACCAACAATTTCTCCCATTGAACCACTCTCAAGCTTTAACATATTTTCAACATACATGACAATCTCATGCACTGTCACATCGTAACGTTTTGGTATATTCTGGACAACTATTGGCGATAATTGCAAGGGAGCAAGGGGAACCAAATCAGCTATTTGTTTCAGAGCATCATGCACCCGAGACAGAACCTTATTCTTTCTGTCAACTCCATTTTCATTTTTTCAGAAAATCCATGACATGTTTAGGAGCAGTAAAAGGCCTCACAAGCCTCTCCAAACACCAATCAATATACATTCCCTTCGAAGCAGCCAATGATACGAGAAGCTCAATCAAAGCATCCATGATATCAGTCACATCATAATTCTTATACGTTGTAGCCAAATTCCACAAGCTCATTCTCTCAAGAGCAAAAATAAGAGTTCCATGATGGACAGAGTCTATGTAGGACACTACTCCAGCAAGGGCTTTCAAAATTGTCACAAGTTGAGCAGCTTCATGAGAATTAAGATTCCTTTTAGGCTGCAAACACCCAACAAGCTCTTCATAGTTCTCTCTACCATCCGTGACTTCAAGAAGGGCATCTCTAACCTGATATATTAACTGCAAATCACTGATTTCAGCATCCTCGTCCGTTGTACGTAATTCTTCGTTTGAATTTGGAAGCAACTGTCCCATGCTCCCAAAAACAAAGAAAACGCAGAGATGGAAAACTAACCGAATATGAGGCTGAGGCTAGGGTTTTAGATCGGATCTACCGGTCCAAAAGCGGACGAGCTACAGAACCGGTGGCGGTTTTCGTAAACTGGCTCAGCTTTGTTATGTGAAAAGAAAAAGGAATTAGAGAAGGATGGCGCAGCATTTGGTTTGGGTTAATTAATGGTTTTTCATGTGTCGAATAATTTGTATGAGCATAGGATATTTTGGCATGATTGCTTGTATTGACGTGGATTTTTTTTGTATGAATGTGCAGGTCATGAACTGAAGATGAAGAACTTTGGCATGGCATGGAATTAGAAGTTTACTCATGGAGTTTTAGCACCTTTAGGACTAAAGAATTTTGTTCAAGTGTATTTTGTAACCGTTTTCTTTTCTTTGTAGAATATTGGTGTAATGGGATTGTAATGATTTTATAATGAATGTTTGATTTGGATGAACTTGAAATTTATAGTGTGAATTATTAATGACTTTGAGCTTGAAATGTCGGGTGATGGATTTTTTTTGGATGGAGTTTAAATGACAAAGTCTTGAAAAAATGCTTGAAGATATGAAAGCATTAAATTTTCTTGTAAGGTATTGTTATACTTGAATGAAATTGAATGGAATTGGATAGTATTTTCTTGAATCATGAATGAAAGGGTTCGAATAAACTTTGAACACATGTCAACTTGAATCTGGAATAACGATGAACGTCTTTGTAATGCGTATGAACTCCGACTTGAAACAAGACCTCGCAGTCTGTACTTTACCTTCCAAGAAACTCATATGACCAATACTTAAGGCTCTTTGCCAACTTTAATCCAATCAAACACTTTCGAACATCTTGAACTCAAATCAAACTTCAAATCCAAATCACACTTGCATTCTCAATGAACTCCTAACTTCAATCTTGAACCCAAATCAACTTGAATGACAAATAATTTGAATAGTCAATAAGATCTTGATCCTAAAAAAATCACAACCTTGCCTTTCGTATCATGCCTCATATTCCACGATTCAATCCACAAGTCTCTCATCTTGACAAAGTCCTTCCCTAATTGACGACCTTAAATCATCAAAGATGGATGTAAATGATAATGAAAGAATATGATCAAGATTAATATGAAACCTTATTTCCCCTGATCTTCAATTACTTGAACATTTATCAATGAATAGAAACCCTGATTTTTAATGAAATCTTCCTTTTCTGAACCAATATTTCTTTTCCTTTACCATACTATTCTTCAAATGCAACTCGAATTCCCAACACATATTAGATGAAAATTCAAGGGAGACCTTGGTCCCAAAGTTAATTTTTCAAAGCTTACTTTAACCGAAGTCAACAGATCTTATCCACATATCTTTGAAATTGACCCATGATTATGCATCTCAAGGTCTCATAAGAGCTTGTAAGCCCATCAACCAGGTATGCCATGTTGAACAAACCCTGCCTTGAATGCCTTGAACCTTGAATTACCTTGCATGAATTCTTCTATGGGAAACCTACTTCAATCCAAACCTACTCACATCGCAGATAACAAATGATAATGATGAGGACAATGATTGCCTTGGTTAAGGAGAAATCTATGAATTCATATCTTAGGTCATGAACCACGCTTCACAATTCAATCCTCAGCCCTTAGCAATCGGTTATTTCAACTTGAGATTAGTTTCATAAGGAACATCTTACAGATGGATGATAAAGTCTGAATCACAGAAGAATTCCCTTGATGTGAAACCCTCACAATCTTGATTCCTCGTTTAGACGCACAGAGAAATATCCGGATAAAACATCTTTGAACCATGATTCAACAAAAACCTAATTTGATTAACTGAGGAGTAGACGATTGTCATGTCACAGTCATTAGTCCTAATCAAATGACAAGCATACTTATAGGAAAAGACGTCATGATTCGAAGCCCACTTATGCTAGGTCACGTCCTAGAGTTCTTGACCAGAATGACCTACAACCAGTTGTTCAACAAAAGATATTAGCCCAGTAACTTAGTGGAGAAGAAGTCCAGAAATGAGCCTTGAACCTTAATTCCAAAGCTTGCTGCATGAATAAGAAATCATCCTTTATTGGATACGAGCGCCTTAACCACTGTGAAAACCTAGTATCGCACAACCACTGAACTTTGAACCTCAGAGCTATATTGAATGAAATGTATGCCATGTTAGTGACCTAATGAAATAGATGCAGATGGATGCAAAAGTCTAAGCCAAAATAAAAGGAATTAGGAGGGCAAATTTTGGGGTGCAACAGCTGCCCATATTTAATCGCCTTCAACCTGAAGGTGAGATTGGCGCCAGCCTTTCGAACTTCCAAGGTAGAAGAAGATTAAATACTAAAAGAACCCGAAAATTTGCGCTCCGAAGCCAGTCAGGTATTATTATATCTTTTTCGGAATCTATTTTTATTATATTATTTTGCTTTTTGGATTACATGGGTCATCGGGGTTAGATGTATGTTTAACTAGAGTTTGATACACAGCAGAATAACTTGGTTATCAAGGAACATCTGTTAGGATTTAGTAACAAACACCTGTAAGAAAGGTATCAAAAGATATATGCCTGAAGCCTGTAGTAGACATACGAAAAAATTATCAGAGACACATATCAGGGGTTGGTAGCGGATATACAAGAAAGAGACATCAAAAATACATATCCGTGGTCGGTATCAGACACGTATGAAAGAGATAGAAAAGATACATATCCGTGGTCAGTATCGGATACGCACAAAAGAGATATCAAAGATACATACCCGTGGTCGGTATCAGATACGCACAAAAGAGATATCAAAGATACATATCCGTGGTCGGTATCAGATACGTACGGAAGAGACAGACCGAAGAAAGCCCTTACAAAGATGTCAAGAACACATGTCTGGGATTGGTAGCAGACATATGAAACAGGTATAAAAAATACATACCAGTGGTCGGTATCGGATATGTAAGAAAGAGACAGATATATATCCGTGGTCGGTATCGGATACGCACAAAAGAGACATCAAGATACATATCCGTGGTCGGTATCGGATACGCACAAAAGAGATATCAAAGATACATATCCGTGGTCGGTATCGGATACGTACGGAAGAGACAGACCGAAGAAAGCCCTTACAAAGATGTCAAGAACACATGTCTGGGATTGGTAGCAGACATATGAAACAGGTATCAAAAATACATATCCGTGGTCGGTATCGGATATGTAAGAAAGAGACAGATACATATCCATGGTCGGTATCAGATACGCACAAAAGAGACATCAAGATACATATCCGTGGTCGGTATCGAATACGCACAAAAGAGATATCAAAGATACATATCCGTGGTCGGTATCGGATACGTACGAAAGAGACGTCAAAGATACAAGAACATATGTCTGAGGTTGGTAGCAGACATATGAAACAGGTATCGAAAATACATATCCGTGGTTGGTATCGGATATGTAAGAAAGAGACAGATACATATCCGTGGTCAGTATCGGATACGCACAAAAGAGACATCAAGATACATATCCGTGGTCGGTATCAGATACGCACAAAAGAGATATCAAAGATATATATCCGTGGTCGGTATCGGATACGTACGAAAGAGACGTCAAAGATACAAGAACATATGTCTGAGGTTGGTAGCAGACATATGAAACAGGTATCGAAAATACATATCCGTGGTTGGTATCAGATACGTACGAAAGAGACAGACCGAAAAAGCTCTTGCAAAGAAACACCAATCGAAGGCAGACTTACTGAGGAAGGAGACCAAACGAATGGGACTCCGGACAAATGATATCAATCGAAGGTGGATTTAAAATGAATGACACCATCCGAAGCGGGATTTTGACAAAAGATACCAGGCGAAGCGGGGTTTTGAAAGATACAGGTATGCATGTCTGGTCAGAGTTAGATACACAAGAGCGAAGTTGATCATCAAGAAAAAAATGTTTAGAATTGCTAGCGAACACAGGAACGAGACTTAACCGAAGAAAGCCCCAATAAAAAGGGCGCATTCGCCTAAATAAGGATGCTAGACAACTAGATTTTGAAGAGACACTGAAAGACTCTTAACATAAAAGATTAGCTAGGCTAACGAAAGGAGGACCCAACTAACGTGGATAAACCAAAACAAGGAACCGACTAAGCAGGACCTTCAAAGAGCACCGATCGAATGTGAACTCTGCAAGAGAAAGGGACTGGTCCAAGCAGACTTTAATAAAGAAAAACATGTTAGGCTTTCGATAGGTTGCAAATACGCAAGAACTAAAAAATCCCTCAGGCCAAAGGCGGGGTGTAGTTCTTCAAGAGTGGCAATCATCTGAATTACCACACACCAAGTATGGACACTCAAATACTTGAGAAATAAGAAAGGCTATACGTCGACTCTTACTCGCACTCTAACGGCAAAGCGAACACGGGTAAAATAACCAAAAGCTTGAAAGGGCAAGTGTAAACCACGATTTACTGGGGAATCCCATATGTATTGAACTTAAACAGAACGCCGGTCGAAGGCGGTCTTGTGTTCAGAAGGAAAAAAAAGAGACCAACTGTAGGGACTCTAAACAAGGATTGCCGACATGCGTTGGGCTTTAAAAGTTTTGCAAATACGCAAGAACTACAAAATTCCTCAGGCCAAAGGCGGGGTGTAATTCTTCAAGAGTGGCAATTATTTGAATTACCACACACCAAGTATGGACACTCAAATACTTGAGAAATAAGAAAGGCTATACGCCGACTCTTACTCGCACTCTAACGGCAAAGCAAACATGGGTAAAATAACAAAAGGCTTGCAAAGGCAAGCGCAAACCACAAACTTACTGGGGAGATGGAGGAATACCAAAGACCCGACTGATGGCGAATCAAAACAAACCCCGCTGGGGAAACATAATAGAGTCACCCTTAGGCTTGTTGTGGAGATAAGTCAAATCTGAGCGCATAATAATCTGGTTACCACAAGTGGACATAATTGGCTTATACTTAT